AAAGAAATGAAGGTATTGAAGGAATCTAAGAAAAAAACACATATATATTTTCGTAAAATGTACATAAAATTCATAAAAATTTAACCGTTCATTACTATACATTTATATTTACATAAATACGTTTAAAACATTACAAAACTTGATCATAGCATAAATACTTAATTTATCGATTTTGTTTACATGCCAACCACTATCCTTATTACAAAATACATACTATACATTCCTTTTCTAATCTGATCTTTGGAAAGGAGAAATTGTCATGTCTTGTATAACTTTTACCAATCTTCCTCTTCTCGGAACCTACGCGTGAAACAATCACATGCTAAGTCGTTGACTTAGTGAGGCATATAAAACATATAATAAAAATCATAAAACATTTCATATATTAAAATACATACATGCACATATACTATCACATTTCTATTCATATATCAAATCCACATATGTACATATATGATTATCTTCTTCCTTATCATTATCCTATTATTATCATTAATGTCTTTTATCATATAATCATATACTTATCATTTATACACATCATATATCATTTCATAAAGAAATACACTTAACATCATAAAATTCATATCAAATGCATGAGCAATTATTACGATCATATCATATAAAAGCATATATCATTACATAAATCTTGTGATCTATTCCATATAACAAATCACATATACATATCATATTCAGTATACTTATTAGATCTCTTTATTAGCCCATATACACTGTTGAGAACTTAAGGTATGTGAGTACATTGAGGTTGTGCACAAATGTTGTCACCACAACTCATATAAATTCCCACTAGGGGCACTGAATATTTGTCTCGAAGAACCGCGTAGAAATATCCCGGAGGACCACTATGTCCCAAATGACCACTCCTTAAGAACCATATACATAATACAATTAACCAAATAAGTGTACCGAAGTACCATATACATGTTCCATGGAATTACATATATGTCCCGAAGGACCACGTAGAATTGTCCCGAAGGACCGCGTAGACCCTCGACTCTTGGCATGCCAACTATACCTCTAGATCTCATGACACATAACATGGGCATTATCTTTTATAATTATCACATATTCATATCAGCACATAGTTCACTTACACGTAGAACATTTTCATACGATTCATATTCACATGTCATATAGCTTATACCTTGTTCTTATGTCTTCTCATAGACATATATTCTTTCTCACATAGTCACATAGATCCATATCATATAACATATATCACATGTGCATGTAATCATATAAATCGTATCATATAACTTATATTATTTCTCATGTGTTCATGCAAACATGCATATCATATCTGGTTCACATATGTTCATATATACATCATATATCACATATTGCATATTCATTTAAACATATAGATCACGTAACATATAATAACATACACCCATTTCCATATCTTAATGCACACATAAGAATCTCATAACATTTTAAAAGTTATTTCTTACCATAGTAACTACGTCACTGGCTCATCGCAAGCCAATATTTATTCAATAACATAAGTACAATTTAAATTGCACTCACCTTAGCCTTGCTTTGAATAAATCCTAATCCTTCGATTGTTTCGGAATTCGTTTAGGCTCTGTATCTACATAAATATAATTTTTAAGGCAATTATCAGAAGCCTAAACCTTATACTTCGATGCTATTAACTTAAATGAATTTAATAAAATCATATTTCTAATTTCCTTTAGGAGTGTATCGATGCACTATGGATGCATCGGTACCCAAAATAGCTTCGAAATTCACATGCATCGATGCACTCCTTAATGTATCGATGCACCTTCAAAATTTGTCTTACTGCATCGGTATACATTCATAGTGTATCAATTCATCTGTCAATTATAAACTGATTTTAATACGAAAATTCCATAATTTTTCATTAAAATTCTTCATGTTTCATTCCCCTTTCTATTCTTAACTCAAGTACATATACTTAAACTAATTTTTACTCATTCAATATATCTTTAACCTTAAAATTCCATCTTTTATATGGAAATCAATAATCATACCAAATTTTCAAAATACTCTAAATCCAATTTTATCACTTCATATCTCTTAATTAAGTTGATGACAAGTCAAATTTAGTTTCAAATTCAACTTATCAACTCTTTTCCAAAAATTCACTTAAAAACCTATTTTCTTTAATCTCTCATAACTTCTTCATCTTTTGATTTTAAGACAACTTAATCTTTCCTTAAGCTTAGTTATCATCTAATGATCAAAACTCAACCATAAAATCAACAAATAATTAACTAACAAAGAAACTCACCTTTGTCTTTGGGGGTTCACGGTGAAGAAGAAAGAAAGAAGATGAAGAGAAGTTTTGGAGAAAATATCTCCATCTTATCCCTATATCCTTATCAATCCCATTTTTAATTAATTTCTAACTCAAATGACTGTTTTGCCTTTCACTTCATTTAATAATTACTAATAACTTTAGGAAATATCTCCACATAAATCATTGAACTACTCAACTATTTTATTTTAATCCCCAAATTCTAAAATTTTTCAATTTAGTCACTAACTCATAATTTGGGATGTTACAACAATGTTATAATTGCAATAAGTATGGTCATTATAGTTATGAGTGTAGATCTGCTCCTAAACAAGAAGAAAGAAATAACGTAGCAACAACTGAAGAAGAAGAAATCAAAAAATTGAAAAATCTCCAGAGAAATGGTGAAAAGAAATACATTTCAGATGTTTATTATGTATCTGCTTTAAAAAGCAATATCATCAGTCTTGGTCAACTCCTAGAAAAATGATATGAAGTGCAGATGAAGAATTGCTCGCTTGCCATCAAAAATAAAGGAGAATTGATAGCCCAAGTTGATATAACTCAAAATTGTCTCTTTACAATTGATATCGAGTCGGGAGAAGTCAAGTGCATGAAGACCGCGATCAAAGATGATTTATGGCTATGGCATCTAAGATATGGACATCTTGGATTTTCTGGTTTGAAGTTGTTATAAAAAACAAATATGGTGAAAGGACTACTAAAGATCAACTCTCCAAATCAATTATGTGAGGCTTGTATTAAAGGAAAGCAACATAGACAGAGCTTTGAAGTTGGTAGATCCTGACGTACTTGAAGACCGTTGGAGATAGTACACACAGATATAACCGGCCCTTTTGATATACCATCGCTTGGCGGTAACAGGTACTACCTAACTTTTATTGATGGTAGAAAATGTTGGATTTATATCTAGAAAGAAAAGTTAGAAACGCTGGAAAAATTGAAAGAATTTAAAGCAATGGCTGAAAAACAAAGCGGCCAATATTTGAATATAATTAGATCAGATAGAGGATGCGAATATATATCAAAGTTATTTGAAGAATTCTGTAAAGAGCATGGCATCATCCATCAGCTGATAGTCAGATACACGCCACAACAAAATGGAGTTGCAAAAAGAAAGAACCACACAATCCTGGACATGGCAAGAAGCATGATAAAAGGTAAACATCTACCAAGAAATTTCTGGGCAGAAGCAGTTCGATGTGCAGTTTACCTATTGAACCGATGTCCAACAAAAAGTGTGAAATATATGACGCCAAACAAAACATGGAGTAGACAGAAACCAGGAGTTGGACACCTTAAGATTTTTGGATGTATCGCATATGCCCACGTTCCTGAACAGACTAGAAAGAAGCTTGATGACATAGGAGAAAAATGTATTTTCATTGGCTATGATGAAAGAAGCAAAGCTTATAGATTATATAATCCTCTTACCAAGAATGTAATAATTTCAAGAGATGTCTAGTTCAATGAAGCATAATATTGGAGATGGAGCAAAGAGGAAAAGAAAGTTGAAGGACTATTTTTTAATGAAGATAAAGATAAAGATGACGAACTTATCAATCAAGATGAACAAGCTGATGATCAAAGTCTTCAACAAAATGTAACATCGTCGTCAAGCAGCAGCAACAATGCTAGCAACATAATAGAAAATTATGAAGCACCTCCCACAGAAGTTCGAAGATCCACAAGAGAGAAAATAATACCAGAAAGGTACAACGATTATGAATTAAATAATGTTTCACTATTCAGTCTCTTTGCAAAAAGTGATCTCATAATAAATGAAGAATCGATTGGAGATGAGAAGTGGAGAAAAACTCGGAATGAAAAATCAAGTTTGAGGGGGAGTGTTAGAAATCAAACTTGATTTCTTACAAGTCAAAAAAGAAGACTATAAAAATGAACAAATTTTAAAAGTTTTTGGTAGCATGCTCATGCTTAATAATTAAGGAAAAAAACGTGGAAGCAAAATCAACGTGGAAGCTTCTTGAATTACTTTAGCATTAAGCTTAAGTAAAGATACAACAAAGTCAATTAAAGCATCACAAAGTAATGTACATGAAGGAAGCAACGTATACATGGATAAGAAAAGTGAAAGAAACAAATGAATTGTTTCGTTGTGAAGAAAAGTTTGAGGCGGCAACTTAGTCGGTTAAATACTATTATAAATATATACAATGTAAAGAAAGAATACAAGTGAGAAAAATAAATATGATTGAAAGTTTAAAAAAGCTAGAGAGAATTTGAGAGAGCTTAACAAAGCTTTGAATAGTGGGGTTGTGTTTGTAAACTAGCAGCAGCTAGTGTTATAGTGTTGTAGTATTGTAATATTGGGGTAACGTCGTTGTAACATATTTTGTCTCGTATTAATAATATTTCAAGTTAGAAAAATTACTCGAGTGTCCACCTACGCTTCCAACAGGATTGTCAATGTTTCCTCTATTATCGGGTTATTGAAGGTACATGATATACAGTTTTGTTAGGGAAACTCTATCTTCTTTCGGGAGAAATCCGTAAAATTTTGTTCGTCAGGCAGCTAGTCGAATCCATTATTCTCCATGTGCTAGGTTCACAGAGCCAAGAGTTCTTCGGATGGAAGTCGTGCATAGACGTGAGCATTTTGCACACTTGTCGCTTGAACACTCTACCTATGTAATATAGGCCAAGTTGCAATTGTGTTATGGCTCCAATCCGAGTCTCTCCCGGCTCTGTGAACCCGCCAAGGGCTCTCAGCATATTACAAGAGACAAAATCTGGACACGGGAGGAGAATAGATTATTGGGGTTTGGACGACGGCTCTTTTTTCATGTTGAATTGCAGCATGCGGGTGACTGTAAGCTTTGAAAGAAATTTTAAATTTTAATCATCTTCTGTCATGGTTGTGCAGAATGTACCCAGTCAATCTGTAAAATAAGTAGGAAGTTTTAAAACAGTTTCTTAAAGATTTCAAAGAGGGGTTACTGAAAGATCAAGGTTGGCCTACTTATTTCTCAGTATACACACTCTCCAAAGCAGCAATGAATACCTACACAAGGATTCTAGCAAAGAAGAACCCAAGTTTCCTAGTCAATTCCATTGGCCCGGTCTTTGTTAAAACTGATATAACCTGTAATTTTGGGGTCCTAACTGCTGCTGAAGGAGCTGAAAATGTTGCAAGGCTAGCATTGCTCCCAAATAATGACCCTTCAGGTCTTTTTTTCCTTAGAAAGGAAGTGTCATCATCCTTTTGATGAAAGATTTAGCTAATGAGTGTATCAGCTTGTATATCAAATCGAAATCATTTACAGACAGATTCTCAATGTTCAGTGATCTTAAAATCAATGAATTAAGCTTCCATTGGATGAAGTTTTGTATTTTTATTCAAGTAACTTGGTATCTATTTTGCTAAGTTTTAGACCAGGTGTTCCAATGATATTCAGATTGTTGCTTTGTTAGTGAAGGAACAAATGAAACGGTATTCTTTGTCGGTTCGAATACCTCCCATATAAATAAGCATCTGATTAATGGGAAGGTAGTATAATAGAATAAAAACTTTTGAAACTGGGTAAAATACACAAATGATCCTTCGACTATAGGATATTTTTTTGTTGAGTTCCCCGACTATAAAGAGTTGCTTTGTTTACTTCATCGACTATTAAAAGTTACATAATAAATAATCAAGTGACGATTTTGTAACTTTTAATAGTCGAGAGACTCAACAAAACAACTCCCTATAGTCGAGGGACTATTTTGTAACATTTAATAGTTGGGGACTCAAAAAAGTAGTATCGTATAGTTGAAGGACCATTTGTGTATTTTATCTTACTTTTATTTGTTAAATAATTTAGGATGATTACAATATAGTATCTGTTCAGAATTTTTTTTAATCAATTAATAGCACGGACACGCTGTATAATTACCACATACTTTTATTTGATTTGAATGGTAGATTGAGTATTTTATGATACAGTCGGAATACAATGGCTCATTAAAGTCATTATACATGTTATACATGAGCACCACTAACTCCAATAACCAAACAAAGGAAGAGGTCAAAAGCTAAAAGCCCTTGTTTCTCTACACAATTACTACATTTAAGCATCTCAAAATTTCAGCATCTCCAATCACGTGTGTGCCATCAAAACTCTCGCCATTATCAAACCCTCTTTTATAAAAACCAGAGCAGAGGGGTTGTTTCGATCATCAACTCTCATTTTGTCAGAAACCTCGAGTTGCATCTTTTTTTTCTTGCCCAACAGTTCCTCTGTTCCATCACCAAAACCCAAATCTTGAAGCCAAGTTCTAACCCAAAAATCAAGACCAACAACAATGGCATTCACAGGAACTTGACAAGTGCAAGGCTTGTGACAAGACTGTCTATGTTGTGGACGTGATGACCCTTGAAGGTGCGCCTTATCATAAAACATGCTTCAAATGCACCTATTGCATGGCTTCAAACTCGAGGTATCTTTCGATCTTTTTTCCTATGTTTTTTATTTTATAAACTCGAACAACGGCACTTGATAAAATCGAAAAATGGGTTTAAAAATTCGAATATGTTTATTGTTGTCCTGTATAGATGTCCACCTACTCCTCCATGGATGGAGTCCTGTATTGCAAGATTCATTTTGAACAACTATTTAAGGAATCTGACAATTTCAACAAAAACTTTCAATCAGGTAAAATTTATATTTACTATGACCCTTCAATTTTCTTAAATTATTTACTTGTTTGCTGCATGGCTAAGGCTAACAACATTAATTTTCTTTGATTATAATATTTTTTTACAGCTAAGAACGACAAGAAAGATGATTAGCCGAGGACTCCCAGCAAACTTTAATCAATGTTTTTCGGAACTATATACAAATGTCGTGCTTGCGAGAAAACAGTTTACCCATTGGAAAAGGTTACAATGGAAAGGGGATTGTACCACAAGACATGCTTCAGGTGCGCTCACAGTGTGGGTCTCCGTTGACCCACTCGTCGTACGCGTCGCTCGACGCCGTGCTGTACTGCAAGCACCATTTTGCCCAGCTGTTCATGGTGTGAAAGGGAATTATACCCACGTCCTTCGCAATGGCGGATGCACTAAATCCCATAAAATTTAAATGCACCTTATTATTTTAAAAAAATAATTAAATTTAATTTAATGGGTTAAAAAAAATTATAATTTTTACATACTCATTAATTTTAAAAAATAAATTAAAATTTTAGATATTATTTTTAAATTTCTAGATCTGTCACTAATTTTTTATGCTGCTCATAGGAGGAACAGCTCCACTGGGTCATCCACCGACTTCGCTGAAAACAACCGAACTGATCAAGATGCTGCGCCAGCCGATGAAGACGAATCCGAAGAATAGTCGTGATTAAAAGGAAGAAAAAGAAAAAGACGACGACGGAGAAAATGATTTAAGACAATCCATCGATCGATTTTTTTATAAAAAAAATTGACGCGCCCATGATGTTTTCTTAGAGCTTTTGAAAAAGTGTATTGGCTGGCACAGAAGACATCAAAAAGTTGATATGACAATAACCGGTTCAGCAAAAAGCCTTCAATCATATCCTGTTTTTTTTAGGTCCTCTGATTAATGCAAATTACATTTAAACTCCCTTAAGTTTTGTTAAATGACGCTTTAATAATATTCCCAAAGAATAGATAATGCTGCTTTAATGCTTTGAGTTGACTGAGCCCACCAACGTTGTCCTGAATCCCACTCACTCCGACTCACCAAGCACCTTCATCCATTAATAATGTAGATATTATTCATTTATATACATTAATTATTTTAAATTTATCTAAAAATTATTATAATAGCCCTCCTCATTAAGTCATTTTTTTATTTTAATTACAAAAATTTTCACTTTATTTTTTCTATATCATTTTTTCAGGAATCCATCCTCATTTTTCTATATAAATATGAAAGTGAATGATTAGTTAAAAATTATTATGGGTAAATTAATGATATGAATGAACTTTATTAGTGGAAATCATAGATTATTCAATGAAAAAGGTTTATAAAATAATTTATTTCAGTTTAGAGGAATACATAATACATGCAAATCTTGTTCAACTGTAGTGTTTATCTCCTAAAAATAGATGGGACTGTTGTGGTTGGCAATAAAATTTAGAGAAAACTGTATCATAGGTCCCTAAACTATAATCACATGATTATTTTAGTTATTAAACTTTTTAAATTTATAAATATTCATTAAATTTATTAAACAATTATAAAATGGTTACTGTATTATAAAATAATTATTAAATTTATCATTTTATAAAATGATAATTAAGGTTTATCATAATATTATAAAAAAACTATCAAACTTTATTTTCAAAATATTGTAATAATTTGATGTTTTTAATGATTATTTTATAATTTTTAAAAATTCAGTAGTAAAAAATAATCATTTGGTCATAGTTTAGAGATGTTACTTTACCCTGAATTTATAAATATAAAATGTATAAAAAAAATATGTGGATTCCCTAATTTAATTTTCTTGACAAACTCAGAAACGACTAAGAATCAAACCATTTCTCTTCTGTTCTACAATTTCCGTTCTAAAATCTATTATATATCTGTTTCCTTTGCCACCAAAAATCAAACAATTAAGGAACCTTTGCGCATCCCAAAACCAAATCATTCGATTTCTTCTACAAAAATCATTTCATTTTTTCTTTGTTTTCGATAGATCTCTGAGTTTTCACATAAATTTGTGATCTAACCCCCCTTTTTTGATTCAGCTACCGAAGCGGAGCCTCTTTCTTGTGTTCTAGGTCGACCCTCGGTTTTGCCACTATTTAAGGCGTTACCCCCTTTCTAAGAAGCCCTAACTTTGCGGTTTTTTTGGGTAGTTGTGTATAGATATTGGTTTATCTAGGTTTTTTTAATCTGGTTTCTAGGAGATTAGGATTGTGATATGAATAGTAGAGGGAGGTATCCACCGGGGATCGGTGCTGGCCGTGGTGGCGGAGTGAACGCGAGCCCTAGCTTTCAGTCCAGGCCTTCGCAACAGCAGTACGTGCAGAGGAATTTGGTTCAGAATCACCAGCACTTTCAACAACAACAACAGCTTTGGCTTAGACGAAACGAATTGCCCGGTGGCAATGACTCTAATGTCGTCGATGAGGTCGAGAAAACCGTGCAATCCGAAGCCGTCGACTCTAGGTCCCTTTTCATTTCTCATTTTTTATTGTTAGTTCTATATACGAAGAATCTTTTTCTCTATTGTATTTTGTGGCATTATCTCTCAATGGATGACGATTTTACAGGTTTTTTTTAGTATTCTAGTCATCTTTTTCAATCGTTATATGGTTTAATTTAGTCTTGAACTTTCCATTTGTATGGAAGGACTCGATTATATAGAGAAAGGTTGCTTTTGTTGATTTAGACTGTTAGTATTTTCTTTAACTATGAGTTGGAATTTTCTCTTGCACGTGATGTAGATTGTAACTTAATCTTTATTTGATTTTTCACAAATTGAGTTTTCTGTGCTGTATTTTCCCTTTAACACACGTTTGTTGTGCATGATTTCACGGTTGTTTACATCTTTTCTTGCATCCTCTTTCAGCTCACAAGATTGGAAGGCAAGGCTAAAGATGCCACCGCCAGATACACGCTACAAAACAGAGGTATTTATGTATATCATATCTGTTCTGGTGTTGAATATTTACTTCCTTGTTAATGATGCTGTACATTTTAGAACTATGGTTCTAAAATTTCTTGAATGATTTTATATATTTCACTTTGATAATCTTCGTACCTTAATGAAATATTAAAAAAATTTCTCAGCTCTTTAGAATGGTGAAGGAAAAATTGCTTTCTTCTGTTATTCTGGTGATACAAGTGGATTACTATTTTTTAATTCCTATTATAAATTTATAAGTTTTTAACTTGGGGAACTGATACCTGGGGGTTTTGATGCCGAGGCCTTCTGTTAGAGCTGTTTAGGCTTGCAATTTCATCCTTTGTAGCATATCCTTTTATTTTTGTCACATATATTGATATATCTCATTGCAAGGCATGATGGTAGTATGTCGGTGTTTATTGTTGTTTCAAGTTTCAAATAATCTATTTACATGTTTATGAGCTGATCTTCCTATTAAATTGCTGCTAGGATGTGACAGCTACCAAAGGAAATGAATTTGAGGACTATTTCCTTAAACGTGAACTACTTATGGGAATATATGAGAAGGGTTTTGAAAGGCCTTCTCCTATTCAAGAAGAGAGTATTCCTATTGCTTTAACTG